TGCTGAGCAGATTTCTATTTTACTTCCTAGAAAAACTGCCAGCCAGAAGAACAGGGCATTAAACCAGAAAAGCTGTCACACGATATGACAGATCAAGAGGGCTGCACAATCCAGCCCAGAGGTAGCTGCACTTCAGTGTCTGCAAATTGGTTCATTTATGCTGTGCTTGTAACCCGCAATGAGCTCACCAGATAGGAGCTGCCATTTATGGCTGCAGGGTAATTCATTCCTTCATTCCCATGCCAGTTCTGCTCCCAGGCTTTGCTCCTGCATTTGGCAACAGAACAAGCAGCTACTGTGCCACCAGCCAGTGAGAGACCCTCACTGGAAACAAATGCTTTAATGTTGTTTTCCAAGTGATTGGCAAGATTGCACGTTATTCAGCAATATTGCTAATGAAATTCCTCGTTGATGTTCCAGCTGTGCTCTATCATCGCTGGGGAAATCTTGACTTAGCAAAGAAGCACTATGAAGTCTCTCTGAAGCTTGATCCTGTGGCACCCGGGACCAAGGAAAACTACAACCTCTTAAGAAGAAAACTGGAGCAATTGCAAAAGAAAGGCGGTGCCTGATGTTTCTTTTCAGGTTGTCCGTGCATGCTGTTTATGATTAATGTTACATGGGTACTTTTGACCATGTAAAGGATTCAGTCATTATTTCTCAAAAATAATAACGCCACCAGCACTGCACACTTGAATGTCCAGTACGCCCTCCTACAGACCCTAACATTTCAGCCGCACTTCGGGGGATCGTTTTATTTTTACTCTTGAACTGCTTTTAAAGTCCCATAGAACATTTGTGTAGGTATATAAAAGCAATGCAGATGGAATTTCACAGCTTTCACTCGTAATTTGATATCTTCATCTGACTTTTTAGTAGCAGGATGAATATCAGAAGGCAGTTTTAGTTCTGAAAGTGATTCTAAAAATGTGCAATTTCCTGTTTAAATACTGATCTTTTCAAGTATCAAGACTATCTGTACACTTCAGCTTTATTACTGCCTTCTACTGCCAGTCCTGCAGAGCCAGTGGAAGAATGGATTCTCTCCAGCACATCAGCCTACTCTTGTAATTTGAGTTATGTCCTTGTTCTTGTTTCTGGCCCCACCCTTCCCAGTGTCAGATTTGTACAGGAGTAAATGAGGACAAGGATCTGACCAGAAACATTTGTCAGACAGTGTATTGCTGAGGTATGCTCAAGTGGAGAAAATACTCTTAGATTAAGATGGAGACTTTAGCAAGCAGCAAAAGGAAAAGAAGTGTGAGGTGACAGAGGAGTCAGATAGAGTTTCTGTTGTTGCAGGCATCTAGCATAGACAACTTGGGCAACAAATCAGAATTGCTTTAGCTCCTGCTGCAAGTCAGTATAGCATCTATAGGAGCATTTCATTCCTTCCTGGTTAAGGACATTACACCTTTCAGCTCGTGTATTGTTGGTGAATAAGGAGAGAGAATTTCTGTGAAAAAGGCAGGGCACCTGACTTTGGCTGTTGATTTATGAACTGGAAGGAACTCGGATTCACCTTTGTCTCCCCTGACTCGTGTATTTGCTGAAGGGACAGTTAAATAAGCATAGCTGTTAATGCATAAACTGATGACATTGATGTGGGATGATTCAGAGATGGTACAATGTCACTTTTCAAAATGTGCTACGCTTTAATACCCCTTTAAACACTGGCTGTCTCGAGGTGTTTGTCTTGTGCTGGTATTTACGTTCCTGCTTCAGGAAGAAGTCACATGTCTATTTATTTGTTGCTTTTTTTTTCTTTAAGATTGGAAGACTGCTACTGGATGTGAAACCTGAGGAACTTTACCTCTTTTTTTATATTCCTTTATCCTTTCCCTCGGTCCCCCCTCCTAGGAAAGAAATGATCAGTGCGGTATTTGCAGCTTTCCTAATTTGTCTAATGATTATTGTATAGAGATCGTGGAATGTTCTCCAGACACAACTCACCTATGTATGGAACCACTTAAAGTGCAGAGGGAATGCCTGCTATAGGACAAGATGTCATGTGACCTTGCCATCTTACTATCATGTAACCATTCTTCATCTATACTATGTTTTGAACCTAGGCTACTTTTACATTATAAATTTTCTTGGAAATGACATTTGTTCTTGAAAGTTGTTTCAAGAACCATGTATGTCTAGAGAGCACATTGCAGTACTGCAGAGCTACCACAGCATCTCCTTGACAAGGCTAGTTTGGGTATTACAAGTAGTGCAGCTACTTTAATGTAATATTCTCACCAGAGTACAAGTCCTCACAAGTCTATGGGACCAGATGGGATC